TATGCCAGATTTACCAATATTTAATTTTATAATTTTTTATCCGATTACTCGATTAATCGTAAGAATAATCGATAGATTACTCGATTACTAAAATATTTGTTTACAACAGCCCTAGTGGAAAATATGAAATTACATTTAAAATAATGTGTAGGAATCCTGATTAAAGGAGAAACATTGATCACAAAGTAAATTTGGACTTTTAGTTAAAGCACCAAGCCAGTCTAAGAGTTAAGTGACCTAACTTCATCTGAATGATGGACAGAACTATTGGCTTTATTACAGCATCTGCAGTGTCCCTCCCAATGTCAGACTGTAAATGACAATCTGTCAGAAAATCTTTATGAACATTAAGTGTTATTGGAACAATTCTGTCAAAGATAATCATGTGGGATATTTTTCTGGTATGGCAGGCTGATTTTTCATGGAGTTGGTGTAAGGATTTGTTATAGAAACCTCAAATTGTTCTGCTGTTTCCTACCATTGTGGAAATTAGAATATCTCAAATTGATGCTGATGCAGTTTTTCAGCCATTCTGTTGCGATTCCTCATAATCCGACTCTTGAGTACTTTTGACCCAACAATTTTGGCCCACGTGACAAAGAGTTTGGACACCCCAGATTTTAAGTTTTATTTTAATATTCTGATGTAATTGTTGTTGTTTTGTAGAAAGTGGTTTTTATTTTGACATTGCACAATGTTTAGGGATGTGTCGATATTAATCTATCTGTTATGGCAGACAACTGACGTCTCTCAGCAATATATATAATGTAATGTACTTTTTATGTGTTTCTCTAACTTTTGAATACTGAAAAATTTACCACCACGTTAACAATGCTTCATTTAAACTGCTTCATTTAAACACCCACAATCCTGCACTGCCCTACTGTCAGTCATATGACCGAACAAAAACCCACAGGAACAATCCCTTCACTTCTCCTCCAGAAACACAGAAAGCAACAGTAAGGAAATAATCATCATGCTAATATGACTAATATCACCCATGACTGATGTTAATGCAGATATATGGTGCATGCCTAGTTTTTTTATTTGTCTAAAAAGCCTAATTTTGTTGATCAGAAGAACATCCAAGTGGGGTGAATAGTTCCTACAGGCGCTGTATTCTTTCCTTTACATATTTTAAATACATGCCCATATTCCTTTATTCATTGGGATTTAAATTGACAAATTTGCAGCAATTCTTTCATCTGATGAAATTCAGATGAATCATGGATCACATTCGCCTCACTTCTGCTGCTGTGTCGTGAAAAACAACCCTTTGTTCTTGATGATGCATTGCATTCTCTTTTTTCTTCCCCTTGTTCTTCTGTAAATCATCCCCCGATCTGTGTCCTCTGTTTGGTCCAGCATGCGGCCCTGTCGGAATATCGTCCCATCTTGGCCACCAGGCCTCCGTCGCAGTCCTTCTCCTCCATGGCAGATGTGAAGCTAACTCTCATCCCCATCATCTTCATCGTCCTGCGCATCTGGAGCACGGTGCGCTTCATCCTGCTGCTGGCTAACTCTCCGGTCAGACAGAACCCGGTGTTGGTCACGCTACACGTGAGTTTAAAGTCTGAAAATAGCTGCTTTTAGTGGAGATGACACCCTTTCATATTTAGTCATTTTCTTTTGTCGTCTGCTGTATTTGGCAAGCAGCTAATGATAGCATGTGTGCGCTATCATTAGCTGATGTGCTGTTAAACCTGAGTGTGAGACAGGATGCAGTTAAATCCATGACTCATCGCACCGTCATCCTGCAGTTTCTCTTTATAAACCAGTGGTTTCTGTTTGAAACTCCTTGCAACAGAAGATGTGCAGTAAAAGGAAGACTTATCAATAACTTGAATATTATTATTCATCTGAGCCGTTGTTTTTCTAGGGTGAAATTAGCAGTGTTTAAGAAAAAAAAAAAAAAAAGCGAAAATCGAGTGCATGAGTCTGAATTTATTGTGGATTTTCTCTAATCAGCATAGACTGAACAATATACATACATGCTCAAACATATTCTACTATTTGGTCAGATGTCCCTTACTTTTGGCACCTTTTGTAGCCATCAGCAAGCTTATGGCATAACTCTGGCTACATCTCGGACCACCGTTCTTACAAATGGCCATTACGGTAGAACGTCGCTGAAGCCATATCTGATGCGTGTTTGGGTGGAACCTCTAGTTGGGTCCAAATGAGTTGCTAATTTTTAGTGAAGAAGAAGAATTTGGATGAAGTTCTCCATCATTCCAACGGCTTTTTGTACTGGCAGTGAAACAGACCCTCAGCATCAAAGCTGCACAGAATAACGCAACATGCAAAGACGTCTGGTGACGAAAAATTTTCTTTTACAGGCAGTACTCTGCAGTCATCTCCAATGTGTTATTAGCATGATACTTGTGGTGTTGTTGTGGTTGCATCATACCCTCAGCATGATGCAACCACCGCCATGGTTGGCAGTTGGTAAAATGTTCTTAGGTTTTAATCATAATCTCAACTCATCCAACCATACTTCTTGCCTTTGGATCTAAGGACCTGTCTTTGTCTCCTCTGATCATAAAGCCGTTCTCTACCACCCATTTGACTCGATCATGTTCTGCGCCTTGCTAAAGACCAAGTATTATTGTGTAGTCACATGCATTATTGAAAGCCCAACATTAATTCAGTGTATGTAAAACATCTCTGTTACTGTAGTTGTTTGGCTTTTTAAGGTCTATTTTGCTACATTTTACTGTTACAGCTAGTTCTCAGTTGTTAAAGGCTTAATGAAGAATGGTTGTTGTGGTGATGTGTAAAGGTGGAGTGTCAGAAAGTGCCGTAAAATTGGAAAATTGAATTTCTTTTAAGTTAGGTCTGATACATATATCAGCATTTTTATAAGTGCAAGTAATATGGTTACTCGATTGACTGGCAAATACACAATATTGCCCTTTTTGGGACTATATTTCTACATTTAGCCATCATAGGATTTTTAAAAGTGTGTAAAAAATATTAATAAATAGAACAAATAATTTTTCCAGTTCTCTTGGTCAGTTAAGTGTCTCTCTGCTTATTTTCTGCGTCCCTTTAGGGTATCGGCAACACGTCTCAGGGAGCAGCCAACTGCATCATGTTTGTGTTCTTCACGCAGCCCATCCGCTCTCGCCTCTGCACTGCGCTCTGTTGCTGCTGCTCCAGCTGTCGAGGCGAGGCGCCGCACCCGGACGGTGCCCCACAGCGGCACCAGGCGAGACGGGACTCGAGAGGAGAAGGAGAAGAAGAAGAAGAGAACGGTACCAGTGGAGTGCAGAGGGAAAGATGATACCCTCGCTCTGTGACCGGTGAAACCGGGCCGAACCGCTGAGGTGAAGGAAGCGGTTGAGCAGGAAGCCTTATGAAAGCGAGGGATGGAGAATGCTGCAGACGCATCGTCTAGGTTACATACTTGCACTTTTCACTTTTGGTTCTTCCACTATGTTTCTTGAGTCTGTTACACCAAATGAACGACAATGTTACTGTTGCACCTCTACTTATCATGTACTGTAACAAAGTTACCACTGTGAAGTAACGGTTGGGCAAGCTTCATATTTTGTCCAAGTGATTGTGCTTCCAAATCACATAAAAGAAGATAATCTGCCAAAACATCTTTACCCTGTTGTCGTCGCTGATTAGAAGGTTTCGCATTACTCCAAATGTGGCTGCCTGACTTGAAATGTTGTTTCCTCTTATTTTAACATGTCTTACTCCAGTCCTGCAGCAGGATGTTCGGTACTGTATTTCCATACTGGTTTGTGCTTAGTTCAGCTAAATGTTTCTGCAACCAGAAAAACTATGTTGGAATGTGAAATGAAACTAAGATCAGTGTAGTGGGTGAACTGAATATAATACAGATATATCCGATGCTAATGTGATGTCAGCAGATGTTGCAACATGTCCTAGTTTACTAACTCATTGTAAGGATTTAGAAACTTTGAAGTCGAACTCGCGATGTTTTAAATGTGTCGTTTTCTAACTTTTGTTCAAAATTAAGCTGTGGAATAGTTTAGGGTCTCCTCCGCTTTTACTTTTTTTTTTTTTCCTCCCTGAGACCAATCGGATATGTTCTCTAGCCAGTTTAACATCTACACTCCTGTTGTTGCTTTGTACACTGTAATTTGCAGTTGCCTTGTAGAAAACCAAAATAATGTCTTCGTTAAAGCGGGAAAAGAACTTTATTTCTAGATCTTGTCTGTGCTTTTTTTCTTTTCATAGTTTTAAACTAATGAGCTCTGGTCACCTATTCATTGACTGCCACTAAATATATTTTGAGAGTGCATTAATTATTTTTGGATCAAACCGATGCACAATATTTAAGTTGAGGTTTGTCCTACTGTTTTAGTATTGTAATAAATTTCTACTGTTTCTCAGCATATTTGTTTATATTATAGAGTATTATAATCTGAAAATACTGAACTATTTATTATAGCTGCATAGCATATCAAATTAAATCTAAGCGATAAGCTCAATGTCGAAGTGTAAAGTTTTCTTCCGTTTTACATTATAAATTGAGTGATTTTTGAAGTTTCTTCCCAAAGAGATGCTTTAAATTTCCGGTCCCTTCCATGCTTATTGGCATCCCTGGTGCAGATATTTAAATAGTTTGCAATAATTTAATCTTTAATTTCAGTATTTTCATTTTAAAGGGGAGAAACTAATACGGAAAGATGAAAGAATATGTGAAAGTCAGTGGGTTTTATGCAAGCCAGAATGTAAAACATGAAGGGTTTTAACTCATAATAGTTAAATGATGCCAAAAATAATTAGTGTGAGTAAGTAGACTGTTCCTCATGTTATCGGTTTCTTTGCCCCATGTCTGCTGTCTGTGTGATATTTTTGCTGTGTCTGTGATTGTGGCTGTAGCAAATCCAGTTGCCTTATGGGGACAATAAACTTTTCTACTGCTGATACTTAACTGGAATTGTGTGCTTAGGTAAGATTAAACTTTTCAGAAACAAATGGCCCAGGTGGGTCATTTCTGAAAACAAAGGAGTGGTTTTGTTTTGAGAATCTGAAAACAAAACCACTTAATTCCTACTGATGTGAGGATCTGTGAACCTGGTTCTCTTTCAAACGCTCTCGGTACCTTGTTAGAGAATATGGCATCATAAACTCTTTAAAATACCAGGAAATTAAAAAAAAAAATCTAAGAGTAGCTTAAATGTTTGACACAAGTTATTTTTAAATAATTGTTTATTAAAACTTCATCGTCCTTATTTTTAGCGCTGTCGCATCAAACGTGAAATTATTTTAAAGGTTTTTCCTCCCACTTTTTGTTTTTTGTTTGATTTTCTTACCAATTTTACAAGTAATTTTGAAGGACAGAGAAATAATTTTGAAAACAAACTAGTGGAAGCAAAAGTTGAAGCTGTGGTTGTGGTTGCTATAACGGTCACCATTTGTACTCACTAAAGTCAAACTTGCTGCAGCACTCGGAGGCCTCTGCCCTGCAAGCTTTAGGTGTTTTCCTAACACCTAAAACATTAACATATTTCTGCAGCACTTGATGGCTGCAGAGGACGTCAGGGAATCGTTTGAATCAGGCGTTCTGGAACAGTGACGTCTAAAATATTCAGTCTCTGCGGACTGAATTTAAGGAAAGCTAATCTAGAGTTTTAAACCAAGATACTGTGGAAAATTGATCTACAATTTTTAGCTCAACATTTTTCTATGTGAGCGTTTGTTAGAATATCCCGGGTTTTCAGTGCCTGTTCCATCAGCTTAAATGCAACAAAAACACTATAAGTGCAAAACCCCGTTTTACTCTTTTGGCATAGTTTGCTGCTTTTCTATTATTTAAAACTCATCGCTCTTGTGTAATATCGTAGTTGCGACATATTTCACTACAGCGTTTGCGAATCAACAGTTTGATGTGTCGCCTTCATAATTGCTGGTCACTGTGGTCAGGAGAAGCATGAACGATCATCACATGTCATCCTTCCTCCTTGCAACCTGAGCTGCTCTCGTGACCATGAACGTCTCGCTTGACCCCTGCTGCTAGATGCCTGTGTTGGCCAGACGTCAACAAACCAGAGGGGAGGCTGTAAACTTGAATAAACGCGTACAGACCGTGGCGTCGACCTTAACCTAACCTATAACCATAATGGTTATTTTTAGACAATCTGGCTCTTTGACATGATTAGCGCAGTGGATCCTTGCTTTCTTTAAGTTGAAAGCTTGTGAACAACTCCTCCTGACGCCATCATCTGAGGAAAAAAATAGCACAGGAGCATACCCTATATATGACATGCAGCATGAACAGGCGTTAGGGGAAGTATTCTGCCCACACAGACTGGAGCAGTGCAGTTTAACAAGACCAAAAAAAAAAAAAAAGCAGCGGCTGAGTTAAGCTCATAAAGAAACACACTATGAGAATTATTTTCTGCATGTGTGGATTGATCAGCTTGAAAGCATCAAAACGAACACACTTAGCGACTGAAAAAAAAAATGTGTGCATCCTTCTTAGAGCATCTGGTTCCCATACATTAGTCTGATCCCCACTGTTTACACTGCTCTTATTCAAATAAGCAGGTTTAATTCAACATTTAGTTGGAGTAATGGGACAGAGTGCACAGTTCATTCTCTCATGCCGGGGAATATAAGAGTAATGACAACAGAGTGGGCGGCAAGCCTGGGAAAAGACTGTGTGCGGATGTGGAGGGTCTGCACTGTCTCACAACAGATGTCACCGTTGCAAACTCTGGTGTATTTTATAAGGATTTCACATGATAGACCAACACAAAGTTGAGCATAATTGTAAAGTGGCAAGAAAATGATACGTGGTTTTAAATGTATTAATAAAAATGAGAAAACTTTGGGATACATTTGGTTTCAGATCCTTAATTTTTGATACAGATTGCCCAAAAAAAACCCTCATCTGTCTGTTGTCCCCTGAGCAGGTTTGCTACTATTTGTATGCATATGCAGTGGCATAAGTTTCCCTGGCTTGCTGCTGAGTGCTGTGAGACTAGGTTACTTTCTGGAGGAAAGCAAGTTCTGATAGCTGCTTGCATTTTAATTGGTTGGACTGCTGTCCACAATGTTTCATTGCAGGGGTGATGTTTCTGGGAAATTATCAGGGTTAGTTTGCATGTAGGTCAGATAGTTCAGTTTTAGTCTCATGTGACCATGAATGTCCTCCATAGGCCTGTCACACATTTTGAAGTTTTAGTTGTGGAAATTGTCTTCCATTTGACCATTTATCTTTTGTCTTGTGAGTTTGATAAAGCAGTTTATTGAACTACTTTAATGTTCAATAGAAATTAAAGTAGTATGATTATTTGCAGGTGCTCTAAATCGGTTAGCAGACTCTTTTTTTTTGTCCTTGCGGACAGCAGGAAGCACACGGATGGCCGCTCTCTCTGTATTTCCTCCAGTATTTAATCCATTGTGTGATTTGGCTGACATTGAAACACCTCGGGCTGATGAAAACACTTAAGGAAGAAGTTTGTGCTCTCTCTCCTCTCTGCTGGCTCCCTGCCCGGTTAATTCATTACGTTCAGTGTACCTCTCAGCTGTGGTGACCACTCGTCAGCGGGAGTCATTTTTATACTCAACACGAACTGTTCATTTAGCTGATTCTGTTGTTGTAAGAGCCAATTCTCAAATTCACTGTCCAACTCACTAAATAAGGAATAACTTCAAGTACTGAATGGCAACCTGATAGCAGAACAGCATTCACCAAGAACATGAAAACACCTTTAAGAGAGGGCACACAGAGAATAAAGCTACTATGGTTTATTATTACTTCAGAATCTGGACATTCAGGCAGCAAGCAGCTAAAAGTCCCAGTAAAACAAGTTTGTGGTAAGCATGTGACATCCTCTGTCTCTTCTTTAGATCATGTGATGTTGCCCTGCACATTAGCTCCACCAGCTGTTCACTGCAGTCATGGCCACTGCAGAATATTTCTCAGTGCTGATGTTAAGGGTTTCACTGCTTTATTTTATTTTATTTTTTTTTTATAAGCCACTGCTTAAGTTTATGGTTAAACTTAAAGGTATAATGAAGATTACTTTAGTTTTTCATGGATAATGAATCCATCAAATTTCTAAGTATATTTGTAAATGGGGCCAAAACATATGGAAGCCCAGCAACCTAAGGGAGACACAGACTTTCCTCTCCCCAGTCAGTTGGGCCAGATCCTCTGGAGAAATCCCAAGTCATTCCCAGGTCAGTCAAGAAATAGACCCACTGGATGTCCTGGGCCTTCTCCTGGCATCCTACCCAGATGGTCAAGCCAGCTAAACTGGCTCCTCTCGATGTGAAGAAGCAGCGGTCCTCGTTTGCTCTCCATCTATCTCTAATGGAGAGCACCACCGGCCGCTTCATGTTCGGCTGCGTACTGATCCACATATCATCCTTACAAGATAGTTCGTCCACGCAGACGTCACTTAGCAACAGCCGCCACCTTGGAAACAAGAATTCTGATTTTCAGAGCTGCTTCGTGTAGCTCCGTTTTAGCAGGTGGAGGGTCGGGTACATATAATAAGGACAACAGAAAAGCTCCATTGATGCAAGTAAGTGTATTTTATTTCTATAGCAAAGGAAAACAGAAAGATAGCAACGTACCTTTTAAAGAAAGCATGAACTTGTGAAGAATTACGCCGCTCAAGGTGGCAGCAAGTTGGAGTTGCTCTGTATCCTTTTTTTTCTGGAAGCTTTCGTTCCTGCGTTTCTGGCGGGAAAAATTGTTTTTTTAGGACCGTCTTTCTGGTTTAGGATGCTGTTCTGCTGGATTGATTTCTGCTAATATTTTCTCATTTGTTATTATGCGTAACCACGGCAACAATGCAAAAGCTGAAATAATACAACTGGAACCAGAAAACCCTGGAGGAGTTGAAAAGGAGGAGTCGTGGATGCAGAGCCGGAAAAGGAGAGAGAGCATGAGGAAGTCCAAACCATCTCTTCCATCAATCATAATGGGCAATGTCAGATTCTTAGCTAGCTCTTTGACTTCCTACGCAATTCATACCAGCTGCTCTCAGCGTTTTTACACAAACAATGTATTTGTTCGTTTTCATAAAAACAATTAATTAATAATAAATAATTGGAAGTCTTAAACTTCGATAGTTGCTGTAAAGGAACTTAAGAGTGAATTAGCATGAACCGGAAGTGTTCTGGCTTGACCGAAGCATAGACATAATATAAGGATAGACGCCTCATGCACCGCTCTCGCCTATTGTCGCTGATAAGATTTAGGGCGGCCATCTTGGAGCGGTACACCACTCCACTCAGCGTTATGTGTTTAGCAGGCACAATGACGTATCAGCGCATTTAATCAATCATAACACATTTTTGTTACTGGAAACCATATTCAAACATCTATCAAAGCAACATTTATAAACAATTGTATTTTTAAGTATGTTTTTAATACATAGTTCATCATATTTAAATATGCTTAGTGGCTATAACAATAGAATAGGAATGGAATATTCTGATATCGATGTAGGAATATTCTGATATCGATGTATGAAGAGCATATTACAAAGCACACAGCCGTTCATAATTAATTTAATAAATTATTTAGTAATTTATTATATATATATATATATATATATATATATATATATATATATATATATATATATATAATAATGGCGCAAATAAATACTGATTGATTTGTTTTACACAAATGTCAGGGACTCGTAGTTATTAAATCCTAGGGTTGTTGTTTTTTTTCTCGTACAAACACAATCTTAAACAGATTTTATTAGCATCTTATTTGATAGACAAAGTAGCTCAAACAGAACCATGTTTGCATGTCTCTTATAGCCGCATAAGGTTTGTGAGCCTTGTTATGTAAGCAAGAAGTAATCTATTAAACCTACAATAAAACTTGTCTTTGGGCTGCTGTGATATTTTTAAACTTTTTACAGTTACAGTTTGTAAATGATAGTTAAAATTTCACTC